CCTCCATACATCTTCATGTACATATTTCAAGCGAGCCCTATCATTAAAAAGTCTGTGGTGTGCGGTGGCTCTTATAGCTATAGCCTTACATCTATTCCGTGTGTTGCAATATCCACGAAAGCAGCAGTTAATTTTTATGAAGAAAATTATTACAAAATATTCGAAAATTTCTCTACTTATATGTTTGGCTTTTCTTTGTTTTATTTTTCCAACGTCAAAAGCTGGATTTTTTTTTTGAAAAAGTTGGTACAACAAAAAATACGAAACACGTTTTCTGTCAGATACCTAACATGGCGGATAAGAAGAAGAAGTGAAACTACCTTCTAAAAATTATTGTATCATGCCTACGACTATATTTTTCGACCGATTGGACCAATCTTTCCTTCAGGGATAATGCACTAATCGCGCGCTATGATGTTGATTCAAACTCAACATTTGAAAACACCTTTACATGTATGGCTGTAGCTGAGTGTGCAAAGACGCTTGATACAATTAGTTGCGGCCAAGAGGGTCCGGGTTCAATTCCCATCAGACCGAACATAAAATTAATTTTTTTTCTTCTTAATTACGAAAAAGCATCTGTGCACTTCACAACCACGTATATACTCAAATTTAAAACGAGTTGGGTTGGTGCTCTTTCATATGCGTATTTTTTTCAATTTAGCACGTTTTTTTTAAATTCTAAAATTTTTTTCCCTCAGTGTTGGAATGTGAGTTTATGACATTCGATACGATACTAGGGTTCTGGTACTCGATTCCAAAAAATATCGTTTTAAAACTATCGAGTAGAAAATATCGGTATCGAATGCCAAAAGTATCGATGTGGTATCGTATCGTATCGAAATTCGTGTCCCTAACAAGAGCTGCTAGAAAACAAATTTAGAATCAGTAGTTCGCTAAGCTGTCCCTACGAAAACTGGTTTTTACCGTGCAATCTGTGCACCGTGCAAGGGCTTTGCAAGACTTAGAGAATACCCCTAGTGACATCAAACTATTAAACAATGCAAAAGTGCAATTTTGTTAGCCAGTGTTATATCTTGTTCTCTCAATATTTGTACACATTTATGTCCCTTATGCGTTTACGCTCACTTAATCTGCTTAATGACAGCTAACAATTTCGCAAATATTGCGGACGTATTTCATTTATTTATATGTACCAACGTTTGGGTTGTTGGAAAAAATTGCCTTTTTTCGCATGTCAATTTAATAAATATTTAAATACATAAATATTTAATAAATAAAGGTTTTCATGTGTAAACGTACATACATACATATGTGTGCACATATATTTTTGTGTATGTAAATATGTGAGTTTATATGAAGATTAATATGTTTACATGAATATACGCATAAAATATTTAACACAATTTATATGTAAATTTGCATATGTATATGCAAATATGCTTCATAGTAACACTTTTTCATGCAGTTCGCTTTTTGTTATGGTACTACTTTTTCACCACACATATTTTATTTGTTTCATTCCAGGGGCCTTCCGGTTGTACGATGTTGACAATGACGGTTACATAACTCGCGAGGAAATGTACAATATTGTGGATGCCATATATCAGATGGTGGTAAGTTCGGGTGGCAAATGTTGATATGTAAATATGTATGTAAAAAAATTGTTGAAGAGCAAATAAATATATGTACATACATACTTATCTAATATGCTTAAATACTCGTACATATATAGATATGCAAGCTTAACAGTAAAAGTCTATGTGCTTTGGCAAAAAGTCATTTTAAAATATTTTGTATTATTTTAATGGCTTAGTAGTTAAACGAACTTTGTTTGTGAGTTGAGCAATGCAACCACAAGAATTTTAAAGGTTTAAACACATAGGCGATATGCAAGTATGTAACGTGCAACAAAAACTAAAAAAAATCTTTAAACGCAGGATTGACTCACGTTTGGTAAATATGGTAAAACTGCGTTTTTCTTTTACTCTCTGACGTCGCAGTTTGTTTTAAAAGGACTTTGAAATTTCAAAGATATGTTTAATCAAAAATAGTACAATGAAGAAATCAGTGCATGTAGAATAATAATATCAGTTCCAATCGAAAGAGCAAATTCTGCAGAAAAAATATTTGTTTTTGGATATTGAAAATGTCAATTTAATTAATAAATTTGTTGATGCTAATAAAGTGAGAACGACGAAATGAGACGAATTAATTTTTTTTTTTTTACAAGTAAATAAAGCAAATTTTCAGGGATTTTCAAGGATATAGTTTTTAAAATTTTCTATAACTGTTCGTTCTTTTATTTGATGCCTATATTGGTATTCCTCAGTGTACTAAATTTTTTTAATAGTGTTTTGAATTCATCGCATGTTTGAAATTTTAAAGTCTTTTAAGAAAAATCATAACGTCGCCGCACAGTGTTTCGTCTATATAAAGGCAGGTGGAACAAAGTCATGGTGGCAGTTGATAAATAACACCAGCTGGGCTTAGAGAGGGAAAAGGAGATGTCATAAATACAGAATTTTCACTCTCATTTGTTACCCCTCTTGTTATTCTACATTGCACTGATTTTTTAAAATAATTATTTTAATTAATCATATCTTTAAAAATTCCCAAAAAGAAAAGCCTGACGTCAGAGTGAAAAATTAAAACGCAGTTCTACTATATTTGGTCCATAGTTTCGTGAGTGTATGGATTCTTTCGTATGTTATGAAATTGTTTTGGTTTTGTCGCACGGTGTAATATGTTAAAAAGGTATGTTAGGTAAAGTCTCCTTGCCCATATGATTATGATATTTAAACTGGGACTTTTTTACTCTACAAACAGTTTTTGTTTTTCAAAACATGTTTTTTTTTTCATTGGCCAACGGTTTGCGAGCTTTGACAGCTAAGTGTGAATAAATTAAATAGTGGGCCCTTTTTTATAAAATCTCATCCTTTTGAAAGGCTTAAACTAACAGCCCTATTCCCTCATCATTGACAAAAATTCATCGTATGACTACTGTCACAATTACTGCGCCTAAACCACAATAGAAACATTGTTTCGCCGTTGTCGCGTACTCAGTAGGTCATAAGAATAACAATGACAATTGTCACCATTAGAGCGTTGAGTTTTGTCATTGGCGTGCGAATAGGGCTGTAAAATACTGTCTACTACATTAACTTCTTCTTCCTAAAAGTATGCTATAATTTTTCTTTTCTTATTTTTCTCCAATTTCCACAGGGCCAACAACCGCAATCGGAGGATGAGAATACGCCGCAGAAACGTGTTGACAAAATTTTCGATCAAATGGATAAGAATCATGATGGTAAATTAACATTAGAAGAATTTCGTGAGGGTAGTAAAGCTGATCCACGTATAGTTCAGGCGTTAAGTTTAGGTGGTGGTTAAGACAGTTAAGGTAAACGAACGTGCGCAAACGAACAGTAAACCTACATTAAAATTAATAGCATGCATACTTATACATAACAAAAAAAAAGGACTTTTTAGGACGAGGACAGCGACAGCGCGCTGAGGGCAGTTTATAAGATAAAACATTTACATAAATAAAAGTTTAGCTACAATAGTTTGTTATACATCTTACGAAGTCGGGGTTTTTATATTAGATCGAATAAGTATTTTGAAAGAAAAATTGGTTTGGGTAGTTGAATACTCGTAAAAAGCGAAATTTTCCAGCAAATATGTGTGAATGTCCTGCTGAAGAGAAAAAGCGAGCTAAGAAATTCTTTTTTTTTCGCAACCCAAGCTATTTTCAATACTTTAAACGAATTTAACTTCGTTTTCGTTTCAATACTTCTTACTACAACAATTAAGTACTTGGCACTTTTCCAAAAAAAAACTTTTTATTCGAAGCATAGATTAAAAATAAATACTCAAAATCATAAAGAGAAATTTAATAATTTTTATTGACGAGTATATGAGATAATAATTTTTTTGCAATTAAATTTTTAATATTAGCGTTAAGCTAAAAAATAATAATAAAATAAAAAATAAAATGTTTATTGAAAGAAATAAATGCGTTCATTAGTATGTATAAATTATACACAGTAATTGGGCAGCGAAATAAAAATAAATAAATAAATAATTTAGCAACATAAAGCGAATACACCAACTAATAGGTAAATAGAAAAAAATGAAAAAACAACAAAAAATTATAGCTCATAACATAACATTGTTTATATGAAAACGAGAGTGTTTAGTGAGAAAAAAGTCATAAAACAAGCCTTCATTATATTTATGAAAAAAAAACCAAACAAAAAAAAAGATATTCGAAACTAGTAAAAATAAGTAAACATCAATTATAAAATAAAATTACATTTGCATTTTTAACATTAGCAATTAGCCTTACTGCATATTAGCACGGTCTTATGGCCTACATATTCATTACGGTTGAAAATGATGAAGTGGAGCGAAATTTTAGACTACAGTTAGGCGTTAGGACAATTACGAGTATGCAATAGCAAATTAAATGGGGTCTGCAAAATTTAAAAAAATATTACTATATATTTAAGTAAATTTACAAACTCGCGATGGTCCTTAAAGGAATTTTTGGTGTAAAGTAAAAAAGAAATTCGAATTCTTCTCAACTTTTGATTGCACAACACCTTGGAGCGCATCTTTTTAGTGATGGGTAACTTATCTTTGAGCATAGTTATCGAGCTAACTCCTAGCAGTGTGTAGCATGCTTACACTCACTTCAAAGACAATTTGAGTCAGGAGTTTAGTACTGATGTCTTATAGCCTATTTCCACCAAAAGCTTAACAGCAGTTGAGAGTGCAAAGTGATCGCCAAAGCTTATTATTTTCATGCAAAATTTATTTATGAAAATATAGTCCATTCTATAATATAAACCATATAAATTAAGGTTTCACACTTTAAAAATTGTCAACTTTTTTTCAGAATTCCACATAAAAAATATTCTCAAAAGTATTACGATATTATAGCTAGGTGAAACTTGCGCTTCATTAGACTAAAATTGAATGACTATCAAAACTGCATACCTGAGTACTAGAAATTCTTTTGAACTTTATATAAAAAGTGAAACTTTGATTAGAATGAACTATAGAATGAACTACATATAGTTTCGTAAATAATTAATGAAAAAATATTTTACAATTGTGAATATTATATAAGAACAAGGCGAACACTTTCATTTGTCACCTAGAGTAAAACTTTGTCTAATAAAAATTCAAAGAGCCAACAATATTGCTGATCTTAAGGTTAGGTGGCAAAACAATGCACAGCGTGTAACAGCGTGTGAGAAATTCGATTTTCGCAAGCAACTTATGTTATTTTTAACCGAAATAAGTTCTGTATAAAGCATACATAAACATTTGTTTAGCGTGCTTTTCTTTTTGGAAAATGACTACTGTTTGCATTTTATGGTATGTCGAGCAAAGCACCGAAGCAAGGACTTATTCTCTTAAATGATTATTTTCGAGTTAAACTAGAGCAGTCGCATTTTAGAAATCGCTACTACTTACCGCGATTGTCAAAAGTATGCAATGCCTAAAAGTATGCAAAGGCAATACGAAATCGCGTATATGTAAAGTGTTGCCATAGTGATTTTTGGGAAGTTCTTGCAAGAACCTACTTTGCCAATACATAGCCGTTCTCGGGAATAGAGAATGTCTTATGGCATATTAAAGTAAGCGAGTATGTATTTTGTATTTGGACTTAAGGTTCATTTAGTCTAGACTCAATTTACGTAACTTAACCTTTTATATTGGCCAAGGCATATATTTTTATAAAGAAATTTTTTTGTTGTGGCTTATAGGCGGCAAAATGGCAATCACTGAAAAGGAAAATACAAAAAAAAAAAAATTTTCGCTTCTGGCTAAGTTGACGTCTAGAGTAATAAGTGATAACTAATCAATTTCTTACTCTTCTTGCCGTATAAGTTCTAGTTCACACGTCACCTGAAGCCAACTGGTCATTCACAGTGTCGCTGATTCAAGAGAGCATTAATATACTCATAATTTCTCACCGAGTAGATCTCATTTGGCCGCCGAGATCAGGTGATTTCACACCTTTAGAATATTTTATGAGGCAATAAAAAATTGTTCAGTGCAAAGAGCAAAGAAAGTAGCAATTTTGAAACAAATCGAATTCGCCGTTCCAGTTATTAAATGTTACGTAACAAAAACTTGTTAAAAAAAATTAACGCAAATACAAAACCGATGCTCAGTCTAGCTTAAAGTAACCTCCGGACTACTCTTCCATTACCATTGGGCACAGTGCCTACTCACAATTTCTTCATTGAATTGATATTTTTTTTTGGAACAAGCCAACCTCTCACTGAGTTGTGGTGTCTTCTTTTCTCGAAAATAGTAACATTCTTATTTGTCAACATTATTAGAGTGCACCCTGGACTTTACCTTAGATATTTTATTTTTTTTACTTTTTTTAGAGCATTCAGTTTCAAAAATGACAAATTTGAAATTGAGTCATTTCTGAAGAGCCTGTGCCAGACATAAAGAGCTCATCACTATGAAAGTATGATATAAGCATATCGGAGTTTACCTCAAGCCGTCGGCATTGGTCGAACACAGTAAATTCCTACTCAGAAATGTTAAAACATGAAGTACCATTTTAAACGCCTGTCTGCAGCTCTCAGGAAAAATTAAAAATTTATATAAAATTACGCACAGGAAAGTGAAAAGATATTTTCTTCTATAAAAATTTCTTAAATTAGTAAATGTTTTATATTTTTAAAATATTTTTTTCTTCAAGAAAAAATAATCAAGCAACAGAAATAATGACAAATATTTCTTTTGATTTTTCTTGAGAACTGCAGATGGCCCTAAAGAAAATTAATATACATACATACATACATACGTACAATATTCCGTGGAAACTTTTACCTTTACTATTTTATGATGTTTTTCTTTTTTGAGTTTTTTCTCAATCGAATTCTGAAACTTTTGAAGATTTTAGTCATAGACTACTGCAAGAAATGTTAGAAATAGCGTAAGACAATACATTTTTTTTCTCAGTGCAAATGGGGAAATTTTATTAGCTAGAGCGCGCAAAGAACTCTCCGCTGACTCTTTCTTGGTGAAGCTCCCATTCGGGTTGGACTATAATAAAGATACAAATTGACCGAAAAACGAACCGACAGTATGTTGACAAATACCATCGTACTAAGTTAATTTCTATTCTATGTGCGGTTCAGCTTTATTATGCTCTATAAAAAAAATAAACACTCTTTAAGAAAAAGTTTCGCAATAAAAGAAAAAAATACCGAAATACACACCTCATAATACGTACAAATGTACAGACATAACTGCAATGACACTTACTAAAAATAAAAACACATTGTATTAAAAAATAAAATGTACAGCCAAAATATTAAACCTCACCGAAATTCTTCAAAATAGTTACCAATATATAAAAATGGTCTGTAATAAATTTGTTAAAAAAAACATCACTTAGAACACCATCAGTATTTATGTAAAATATATATATTTTAGACGATTTATAAAACTATAAGTTACATACTTATATAATATATAGATAAACATAAACAATGCTGTTGACAACAATACATGCAGCGAATTCTACCGAAGTGAAACCCAGATTTGCGGGTAATTAATGCTATGTAAATAAGCAAATATTTAAGCAAACTCCAGACATAAACGCACGAGGCTTTGGAAAATTTATTGGCGAACAGAAACTATTTAAAAAGTAATAAGCACAAAAAATAGCTTAGTTTTCTAGAAAACTAAATATGTAAATATTTACTCAGTAAAACTCAAATACTAAATACCACCATTGTACTTCATGCACATGAAACAAAGAAGGAAGCATCAATTTAAAATCAAATTGTAATTCACCAAAATGAGCATCTAAAAATGAGCCATGCCTTTTTTATGTCACAAAATAACCCGGTTTCCTTTAGCCTAATAGCTGTTCGTGCTGCGACAATTCTGTCTATAATATCCGTAGGCGCCGTGTTCAACATATGCCAGTGTAGGTGTGGTTCCTAATGCCCCGCTAATTCTTGTTTTACAAGTGTAGCCTTCTCTAGTTAGTTCCACCACACGACGGCTCCTTGAAACAATATAGGCTCTGGCTTTCTAGAGCTAATGAATTAATTTGGGCGAGAGACCCCACCTTTTACCGATAGCTTCCCTATAGCAGTACAAGGCAACGGACACCTTTCCTAACCTTTCCTCAATTTTAGGCTTCCACGACAGCCGTCGTTGATCGCCCACCTAGTTACCTGGTTCAGGTAACCTTAAGCCAGATCAAAAAGGGTGTATAGAAATCGGCCCCTAACCAAAAGCTCCACGTCATCTACATAGGCGATCACCTGACAGCTCACTTTTTCCAGTTAATCCAGAAGGTTGCTTACAACCGCAATCCAGAGCAGGGGAGAGAGAACGTCACCTTTTGGAGTGCTCCTACTGACTCTGCACAGTTTGTATACGCTTCCCACTCCGCCGACAGTTATGTCACGAAGTAAGCTGTAGAAAAGCCTTATTATATTGGTTTCAACCCCCAGATTATGAATATACTTGACTATTGCATCTGGAGTGACATTGTTAAAGGCTCCCTCGATATCGAAGAAGGCCCCTACTGCATGATCTTCATGCGTGAGGGCTTCCTCTGTCCACTTTACCAATGTGTGCAGGGCGGTATTCCCCGACCTTTTCTTGCAATAACCATATTGAGCTCTTGAAAGACAGTCTCTCCAGCGTTTTTAGCAAAAGCGGTTTTAGCAAAAACGAAGAGGCCTAAAATCCCTAGAGGAAACACAATAGCCTTTTCCGGCCTTCGGGATGAACGCAACACTGACTACCCTCCAAACCTTTGGATGCACCCGGTCCTCACGCAGTTCGCATAAATAGGATCCAACCAATTGCATGTCACCTTCAAAGCTCCTTCCAGCTGCGCAGGTATGATGCCGTTGGTCCCCGGCGACATTAATGGTTTGAACGAATTTATCGCGCAGCCCATGTGACGATCGTCTAGAAGATCGGTAAAGAACCGGATCTGGGGTGAGGTTCTGTACCCATTTTCGAATCGCTATCGCGTTTTTTGACGCAAAAACATTTATACCATGCGTCAAAAAGTGCGAAGCGGCCTGAAAATTGTCGCTAACTGGTTGCAGAATCCCCTACAAGAGCGAAAAAAGAAGTACTGTACTTCCGAAAGAAGGACGGAAAGGAAGTAGGCTTTATTGGAGCCCCTTCGGCTTATTCGATTTAAAGTCTCATTTAAGTCAGCAGCGTCTGTTAACCAGTTAATTTGGTTTAGTGGTTTAGTTAGTTTTTAATGTAGTATACAGTTTGTGGCTATACATAATAGTGGAATTGACATTTTTAGATGAAATTGAGTTCAAGTGCTGGAACTATTTAGGATTATTAAAACTGCTTAATCTATACAAGTTTAAGTTCAGCTTCAATGCCCTATATTATGGAATACTTTGTGAGAAAGAAAATCTGCCAAAAATTAATTTTAACATAGCAACCTATAGTTTGAGACAACTACGAATGGAAAACCTGTATTATGCTTGCAAAAAATGTGGTCCCCGGTTTTGGTGAAAAATAAAAAACCGTTTTTTTTTGAATCTAACTGGCTACCCAGAATGTAGTACCACAGCCACAAGCATTTTCGCTAGCTACATCAGCAATAATGCACTATAACTACAGCTACATATTGTGGGTAGTTTAGAGCATTTAGACTATTTTAACTTTTGACAGGTGTTGCTACATACCACAGCCTCACCGTTCCGGTTAGCCAGTAAAGGCTGTAAGCGAAAGTGTGAAATCGATACTTTCAGATTACAATATTTTAGTGTTAACTTAATGCAATGAAATCGCTAAAATTTTCAGAACTTGAGAG